ATGACAGAACCCAGTTCCATATCAGGGGCCTTCCCTTGCCTTGCTGGGGGTTGTGTCTGGTTTGATTCACTTTGGCCAGGGTTATCATTTTCTAACTGCTTCTGTTTCACCAGGAGGACCTTCTGCAGTCTTAGTGGGCAGTGTCTATCCCTGTTTCAGATTCTTGCCTGTCTCACACTGTATCCCATTTCTAGGTTTCTCATATGATCCAGTGGCCTTGTCTTCTTGCCTGCCTTCCCCCAGTCTTCTCACCGGATGTGACTGGACAAGTTTAGTCCTATTCTTGCCATGTGTATTTGCGTTGTGGCCTGGGGGAGGAGTGGGAGGTAGGACTGAAAGTGAAGAAGGCAGTAGGAAGTGGCATGTCAGGTTGAGATTTCCCTATTTCAGCACTTAAGGTATATATCCTCAAATTGACCCCCTTCTGGTATAGTTATTTCTACAGGGTCACTGATCTCATTGGTTAAGATGGAAAAGAACCACAGAAAGACAGTGGTAATAATAGGATGTTTTCTGACCTATTTCTCCTTGGATGCTTTCCCCAGAGATAAAGCTAAGATAAAGAGGAAGTTGGTTATCTGGGTGGTGTTTGGTGTTTAAATATCTTGCTTCTGGTGAATGTGAGGGCCTTAGCCTCCCACTGGTTATTTGTAAGTGTTGTTAACATCTAGCCCTTAGAAATCTAGTCTTTGGCAAAGTACCCACTCTTTGCAAAATACTTGTGCAAATTTGAGCTGGAACTCCCTAATGACACAGAGCAGGAAGGCACTTTCTAAATTTAAAGTCTCCTCATGTTTAGGCACTGGTCAGTCATGCTTTTACAAACTCACATGGACACATTTTTCTTTTTTTGTATTTTCATCACTCAAGGTAATAGGTCATTTCGTGACTCTGAATCTCTCTTTTTTTTTTTTTTTTTTGAGGTGGAGTCTCGCACTGTCACTCAGGCTGGAGTACAGTGGTGTGATCTCAGCTCACTGCAACCTCCACCTACTGGGCTCAAGCAGTCCTCCCACCTCAGCCTCCTGAGTAGCTGGAATTACAGGCAAGCATCACCATGCCTGGCTAATTCTTGTTTTTTTTTTTTTTGTTTTTTTTTTGAGATTTCGTACTTTGTTTTTTAATACATTATAATCCAGCTTATTTGACTAACAGTTTCTCCATCTCTTTATCAAGAGCATGAATAGTCTTCCTCCAGAGTCTTTTCCAGCTGCATAAATTCAACTTATTCTAAGGAGACTCTCCTCCAGTCAGCTGGCTCCTTCCTGGTGCTTTGCTCAGGCTTCTTGGGATCTGTCCTGCCTATGTTCTTCCTCTCAAGGAAGTTCTGTAGTTCTGTATCTTACCTTGGAGAAAGATCACGACCCCAGAGACACTCAGAATTGGATAGGTTCTCAAAGCTCACTTAGTCTACTTTACTTTCTAGTGCCTGAGTCACCTCTATACCATCCCTGCCGAGTGGTGGTCCAGGGTCTAGTTGAAAACCTCCAGTACCATGAAACTCATTGCTTTGACCGTAATTTTTGTATTTTTAGTAGAGGTGGGAGTTTTGCCATGTTGTCCAGCCTGGTCTCGAACTCCTGACCTTAAGTGATCTGCCTGCCTCGGCCTCCCAAAGTACTGGGATTACGGGAGTGAGCCACCATGCCCGGCCCGACTCTGAATCTCCTTATATTTATGTGTCTTTTCTGGAATCAGTAATGCCTTCCAGAAAAAGCTACAAAAATGCTGTCTTTGCAAAGTAAGTTTCAGAGTGGGAGCAGTTAGTACATGGAAATATTTATTGCATGAGTAAGGGTTTAATGATATGTACAGATATTACTCAGTTTATCGACTGTGTACCTGAGAAAAAAAGTTGTGAAACAAATTTCAGTAACACGTTTGATGTACGACATTAGAAATCACTTCCTATGGAAAAAACAGTAACAATCCCACCCTGTACTTATATATTGGTTTATGCTTTTCATGAAGTTTCTATGTGGGTAAGCCTTTGCAATAAACTGGAAGACTATTGTCATCTTTTTTTTTTTTTTTTTTAAGACAGAGTCTTGCTCTGTCACCCATGCTAGAGTGCGGTGGCATGATCTCTGCTCACCACAATCTCAGCCTCCTGAGTTCAAGAGATTCTCCTGCCTCAGCCTCCGGAGTAGCTGGGATTACAGGTGCACCACCATGCACAGCTAATTTTTTTTTATTTTTAGTAGAGACAGGGTTTCACCATGTTGGCCAGGCTGGTCTCGAACTCCTGACCTTGTAATCTGGCCGTGTTGGCCTCCCAAAGTGCTGGGATTACAGGCGTGAGCCACCACGCCCGGCTGTCATCCTCATTTTATAGTTGCCTGAAATAAAGGCAAAGGCTCATCTGGTAGCCCTAGGACTAGAACCTATAGTCTAGTTCCATACTCTTTTCTCTGCAAACTGTTTAGATTAAAAGTTTATATGTGTTGATAATAAGAGAAAATCAAAGCAATTTAGTGACCTTTTAATCATGCTACTTATATTCAATTTAAAGAGATGCCTTTTATTCTGATCTTTCAATAAATTCTTACTAAGCACCAGCTCTGTGTCAGGTACTGTTCTAAGTACTGCTTATAGTGTTGAACAATGCAGACACAGAACTTATGTTCTAATGAGAGAAGAGAGACAGTAGGTAAGTAGATAAATAATAACATATCAGAAAGTGATTTCAAATAGTGAATAAGGGCTCTGAAGAATGTAAAATAGAGAAGGGTAGTAGTTTCGTTTGATTTCAGCTAGAAAGATCCGGGACGGCTTCTCTGAAGAGGTTTACATTTGAGCTAACATCTAAGTAAGAAGGAGGCAGGCATAAGCAGATCTGGGAGAAGTACATTATAAAGGGATTAATAAGGGCCAGGGTCAAGAGACAGGAGCAAACAAACCCGCATTCCTGAAGAACTAAAATAAGATCTGTGTGGTCTCGGCTTAGAGGTCAGCAGAGAAAGGAAAGGACTGGTCATTAAGGCCCTTGTAGACCAAGGTAAGGAATTTGTATGTTACTGTGATGGCTATTTGTCCTGCAGTTTTCTTGTTAAAAATGTCCTTTATTTTATAAAATGAGGGTGACATTAGTTAGTAGATTGGTGTTTAAGTATGTTGCCTCTGCTGAGTGTGAGGGCCTTTCCTCTACTTATCTGTAAGTGCTCCCAATACTTAATGATTTTATAATCTTACTTGGCAAGACTAAAAGTTAGTATTAACTAACTAATTAGCCTTATGTCAGTCCCCAAACTTTAAAAAAAAAATTTTACCAGCCATGAAATCTGGTAGTTTGGAAACTATGGCAGTATACCACAGCAGCTTCCCAATAGGAAGGTTTGAAAATATTTGTCAGTAATGAGGTTAACATAGTATCTTGGACAGTGACATGCTGAAATGTTTTTCTTACAGGAGATGTTTAATTTAAATTATCTTGAATTTCAGATCTACCTCTCCTTTTGTTCACCCACTTTCTTTTCTCTTTCTGCTATCCGTAAGTTCATCACTAGGTCATTTAAATTTCTCTTGTACTTGGGAACAACCTTGTTACAAGCTTCCAGAACTTTGTGCCCAGTACTTAGAATAGTCACTACATTATCACAGTTCTTCGGGAGGTTGCTCTACATTTAACATACTCAAATCCAAATGCTCTTTCTCAAAGCTCCAAGTAAATTAGTACCCTGATTATTGTTAAAATGAAATCTAGAGGTGAATTTACGTGAAATGAGGATATAGATACAGGCCAGAGACCAGGTTCAGTCTGGCCTGTGCCAGCCATATTTGATTGCATCATGTCTTTCCTTTGCTGGCTGTATCTAGGATTCCTATTTTCTTATGTGATTTGTTCATGAAAATGGGCATTTGGGTTTAGTGTATGCTTGTTTTAAAGGGAAATTTCTTCCCAGAGAGCCCAAGCACATAAAATACTTCTTCAATGAGGTATTTGAAAGATTCATGCATATTACTATGTTTTGTTCTTTTCTTCAAAACTGATCGCATAATCTTCTGGCTTAAGTCCAGAGAGTGTCTAGTTGTGGCAAAATATTTGCTGCTTTAGGAATCCCTAATGATTACCATGCCTTTTTAATGGTGTTGAAAATACAGGAGCTAAGTTTATTAGTGACTAGATGTGCCATTTTTACCATTTCCCACTCATCTTTATAAAATAATGAGGGCAAAATGTTGAACAGTGTCTTTTCAGTTTTTAAAAATTTGTTATTTTTATTCTCCTCTTCTCCCTACTGTGATGGCTACTAAAGGATGTCCAAGAAATCACTAAGGCTTTGTGGAGCACGTGATGCAAACCGCTGTGAAAAATCTAAATTGTAAACCCAGCCATAGAAAGATGGCTGTGCTGTTGAAACTGGCAGAGCCACAACACTAAAGCTTCAAAAATAGATGTATACATTTTAACCTAAAATTACACTTTCAGGTGGCATTTACTGTATAAATCAAGGAGACATTTAATTTATTAAGCTTTGATCATGACTGTTTTTTGAGAACACACTTTTTATATAATTTGGGAATGGTGGTGCTATGAGGGCTAAAATATTTTTTGTTTACTAATTTAAAAAGTAAATTTCAGCCTGGCATGGTGGCTCACACCTGTAATCCCAGGACTTTGGGAGGCTGAGGCGAGTGAATCACCTGAGGTCAGGAGTTTGGAGACCAGCCTGACCAACATGATGAAACTCCGTCTTTACTAAAAATACAAAAATTAGCCAGTGTGGTGGCAGGCGCCTATAATTCCAGCTACTCAGGAGGCTGAGGTAGGAGAATCGTCTGAACTTGGGAGGCAGAGGTTGCTGTGAGCCAAGATCAGCCCACTACATTCTAGCTTGGGCGACAAGAGCAAAACTTTGTCTCAAAAAAAAAGTAAATTTCATATTGACCGAGATTTCTTTTTTCATAAATTGTTTAATTATAAATAGTCATAATGTGTTTATATATTATTGTAAAATAATTGACTTGCTAGTTTAAATTTGTTTGTTTTTGTCTTCTAGTTTGCCAGGGTTTGGATACCTGATCCAGAGGAAGTCTGGAAGTCAGCAGAGCTGCTCAAAGATTATAAGCCAGGAGATAAAGTCCTCCTGCTTCATCTCGAGGAAGGAAAGGTGAGGTCTCACATTCATTTGTTGTCATTGGCATAAAGTGAAGGGAGTTCAAAAGTGTAAGTTTACTGTGAAGTAAACTCCCAATGGAAGTTAAATTTTGAATTTATATAAAATTTTTGCTTACAAAATTGGTAAAAATGGTAAACTCAATTTTCTATCCTGATAGCATTTTTAATGGTATAGTGAAAATAGCAGATACTTGAAAAAGCTTTTATTTTGGCCTATGAATTTATTATGATTATCAGGTTTAGATTCACATCTATTCCTAAAACTCTTGCATTTAACTGGTGTGCTATGGGGAGTGTCTGTAGTGTTTTTAAAAAGAGGCTTGGTGCCAGGTTTTAGAGGAGACTCATTGGTGGCAGGATGGAGAGCAACACTGAGGGAAAGACACTAGTTGGGACAAAGGCAGGGAAGAATTAGGCCAATTAGGAGAGTTTTGAATACCAGACAAGGGAACAACGTATTCAACATTTACAGGTCATCTGCTCTGTGTTAGGTGAAATGTTATGCACTTTGGACTGGATTTACTCATGTTAAATTTCACAGCAATCTATGGTTTGACAGTTGACATAATCACTATTTTTCAAATAAAAAAGCCAAACCTCAGAGTCATTAAGTAGTTTTGCTTGAGGTCATACGGCCAGGAAATGACTTGTGGAATTTGAAGTGAGATTTGAACACAGATGACTCTAAGATGAGTGCTTATACTATTTGACTACATTGGATTTTTGCAGATTACTGGCCATGACAAGTTGCTTAAGGTGATGTTTACCATGTTATTCTCTGTAAAGTTGCTGTTTTCCCTTTGTAATTAATGAATATCATTGTGTTAGGGCAGATACCTTGAGGCCACTCATATATCCTGTTTCTCCTTAAACATCGACTGCTAATTTTGTGAAATGTTCATTAGTATGTCTTGCCTGCAGCAAGTATCATTGTTGTGTTCTAGTGGTGATTCTCCATGTCTTTCATTCCTTTTACATTTATTAACTAGAATTCTTCTATAGGGAAGGAAGTATTGTTTCTTCTACCCCATTTATTTATTAATCATTTATTTATTTATTATGGGCCCATGGGTATTTCTTTTATATTCTTCATTACTATCATTATTTACTTTATCAAACAAATTATTCTAGCTTTGATCATTAAGATTGCTCTTAGATTGAGTCCTTTGTTTTTTTGACAGGTCCCTATACTTTTTTTTTTTTTTTGAGACTGTGTCTTACTGTGTCACTCAGGCTGGAGTACAGTGGCTTGATCACGGCTCCCAGACTCAGCCTCCCTAGTGGCTGGGACCACAGGCGTGAGCTACCATGCCTGGCTAATTTATTTATTTGTTTATTTAGTAGAGATGGAGTCTCAATATGTTGCCCAGGCTATTCTTGAACTCCTGGGCTCAAGCAGTCCTCCCCCCTTGGCCTCCCAAAGTGCTGG